ACAGAGGGAATTTACAGACAGACACGGTAAGAGAGGGAAAGGGGAGAAAAAGAAGACAATCAGTATATCTAGAAAAAAAGCAGAGACGCTGCTGGCTGATGTGAAAAAGTAACTATCACTCTGTAAATGAGCATGGATTTCTCTACTTCTAAACAAACAGTTTAACTAATATTATTTTTTCATATGTTACTATAACAGCTTTAATTGTTTATAACTATTTGTTACTTCACTTAAATGGTTACCTCCAGAATATTATAAGCACCCTTCTTCCATGCTTAGCTATTATGTTGCCAGAGAGAAAATGATATCAGCATAAGCACTTCAAGTTCAACATTTACGGGTGGGTAGCAGTGAAATTTAATACTATATTTATCCCCATATTTAGATGAAATTATCCCACTTCTGACCAAATAAACCTGATTGTGCCACACAAGCCATGCTTTTAGTATGACTAGTGTTTTTTGTCAGTGTTGACTCCTGGTGACTGCCTGGACTAGTCCCTGCAGGTTTCTTGGCAAGATTTCAGAAGTGGTTTGACACTGCCTCCTTCCAAGGGCTGAAAGAGAATGACTGACCCAAGGTCACCCAGCTGTGTCTAAGGCAGGACTAGAACTCATGATCTCCTGGTTTCTAGCATGGTGCTTTAACCACCACCACACCAACCTATCTCTTAGTGACTAGTTTAGGAACACAGAATGTTGTCCTACAGCAAATCAGACTCTTGGTCCATCTAGCTCAATGGTGTCTGTACTGATTGGAAACAATTCTCCATAACTTCTATATTTAGGATATTTTGATGCAAATCAGGTGCTCCATCATTGTGCTCCTGCTTCACTATAGAGGATTCTTAAACCTATGCAAATATATTCATACATATGCAACTATCTCCATCAGAAAAAGCCTGAGCTAATCTCATCTAGGAATGAGACTGCCTCAAATCACTAATGAGCTACTTTTTAAATATAAATGTTATTTAAAGTTTTTAAAAAAGATAACAAAAACTAATATAAAGTAAAAAAGAAAGAAAGAAAAGACGACAAAACTAAGACAAAACTAAGACAAAAGTGCAAAAAGAAAAGATGAAAAGAAATATAAAGCTTCCGATTTTCTTTGCAGCAAATACAAGTATAATTACAAAATTATCTCTTACTCTATGGTTACAAAAAGAAAAACTCTTTTCTATTATTTATTTTTCTAATTATCAAAACCACAAATAATCAGTTCATTTTTTCCTGTTTCATGCAAAAAGTGTATAAGGGGTTTCCACTCAGCAATTAGTGTAGATATTGTCTTTTCTGTAATCAAGGAAGTCAGTTCAGCCTCTCTGCAAGTTACATCATCTTCACCAACCATTCCTCTATTGTGGGTAATGCTGAACCTTTCCACTTTTGAGCATATAATAATCTTGTTGCAGTTGTCATATATAAAAACAAAGTTCCATGACTTTTTTCTAGCTATCTGTCCATTAATCCTGAAAGAAAAGCCTCTGGTTTCAATTATACATTAGTCTTTAAAATCTTCTGAATCAGTTTATATATTTGTATCCAAAATGTTTTGGCTTTATTACATGTCCTAATCACTCTCAACAAATTATAATGTGTTTTTTATAAATATCCACAATCAGAAAAACCGCCTTTGGTTCCTGATAATCGTCCCCAACTTATTTTTTCATTTTTTCTGTGCAGGTAAGCCCAGAGCCAGAATAATGTAATGGTTAAAGCATCTGATTGGCACCAAGGAAACCCAGGTACTAGTCCACCCTTAGCCATGAAGTTACTGGGTGATTTTGGGCCAGCCAATCTCATAGGGTTGTTGGAGGGAAAAACAGAAAGAGGGAGTGCTATGTATGCTACCTTGAGCTCTTGAACAAAAATGCTGGATATAAATCTGACAAATAAATTAAAGGTCACTCTTCAACCAATGAGACAGAGCACCTTCTAGAGTTATCCAACCATTGCAGCATCAAAATAACACCAATGAGGACAGTCTTTATATCCCTTCACCATTGACTGGTGATGCTAGGAAGTTGCTATAAGTTATGGGAGAGATGGCCAAAGCCGCCACAACTACCAACCACAATTTTTGTTTTGTAAGGATTTCTAAGGGGATTAGAGACATATTCAACATAGAGATTATGCTGCTGAGCTGAACTTTGCTTTTAATATACCTCTTTAACTTTTAAAATAAATAGGGAAAAATTAAAAGTGAGTTTGAAAGAAAAGTCTAATAGGTGCTAAGGGAGTTACCATTGCACACATTATAGTTGATTGGTATTTTTAAATAGAAGACAGAGAAAGGCTATCCTTTATTATTTACTATATTGAGTATAATCCATGTGCAAATATGCATAACCTCAAAATCCTGTAACTGGTCCAGAAGCCATTATGGATTTACTCACACTAACAGTTCTATAGCATTTGAGGCAGGTCTCCTACCTATCAGCTACTACTGAAAACTTGAACTGTTTGAAGCAAAAACTATGCTTTACATAGTAGGAGTATCTTTGCATTATTTGTCTGGAATTTTCAGTACAATAAACCAACAGTTCTCAAACTGTGGGTTAGGGTCCTAGGGGTGGGGCAGAGCTATGGTTTTTTAAAAACCTGCTCAACCTTGCACAAATAGGGATAGAATGCTACCAAAACTACTTCTGGGATTTGCTAATTTTGCCTGCGCAAGCCCTAGAGGGCAGTATTGATACTTCAAAGTTTGAGAGCCTCATTAATTAAAACTGAACTATTAAACGAGGTATATTTATTTCTTGCCCATTAAAAGTCACAAAAATTCATTTTTCATTTTCAGAGATGGTGGTAATGCAAAGTTTGAGAGCCTCTTACCATAAGTAGAAAAGCAAACATTTAAGTGCAAATTGAAATCACTATATATTTTGAATCATAGATGTCCTACAAGTTCTTATAGATTTTCGGCTATATTAATTGAACTTTAAGTCAAAGCATATGACAAACCTGTCTTTAGAGAAACTGACTGCTACAGAGCCTCCTATTTTCCATACAATTTCCAAAGCAATAAAGTTGTATGTACCAGTTCCTAGAAACACTTGATGACATTTAATCCCTAGATAAATTGTACTTAACTACTCATGAACTAAATCATGTGCTTAATCAGCTGCTGAAATCACAAGGGAAGAAAGCATACTTGGTTTTCCCAGCTAAGAAGGCAAGCCATAGAACAAGATATATGGATTCCACTTAATATAGGTTAATTTTACTGCCCAGCAACTAAATAAAAAAGCAAATTATTTTGAGCTCCAATACAATCTAAATCAGATATCTAGATTATATAGTCATCATTTGAGCCCAGAAATATTTTTAGATTTAATAGTTAAATTTATAGATTCCTTCCTTATTTGAAATTGCTTAGCTTTCATTGTGGTATACAGTTATCCTAGTAAAACCAATTTAATGGCCCAATCCATTATTCTTGCCATTTGCCTTAAATTGCCAGGCTTTAAATACCTAAATATTCCTAATAATGCTTCTTCAGTCTGATGACATATTCATACACAATAGTCCCAAAGATAAGGTTAGATTTACTCAAGGGTATCAGTGAGTCAAGTCTTGAAGCCTACTTTTGTCCTTGGAGTCATTTATTGTCTAACATTCTGATGAAGTACTTAAGGCAATACAGAAAGACACTGCTTTGTTTACCATCCCTAACTTAGTAAATTACATAATGTTTGGACAGTAAGATAACATTGTGAGTCCCAACTGATTTATCATTCATATACTCAAAGGAAACTTGTCCTTTGAGTATATGAATGATACAACTCAATCTTGTATTAGATTGCTCTTAACTGTCCTTGTACATAATCACTCAATTCATCCCATTCTAGAATTTACACTCAAAAGAACTGTCCAGCAACACACAACAAGGCATTTGCAGCACAACCTGGATACATATAATCATAAATGCTACACTAAGTTCAGGTAAGGTTATTTCCTAATATGCACAGTATTCAGCCACTACGGGGAAAAAAAAGGCACTTCTATTTACTCGGAACAATATAGGCATTTCAGCTGGGAGATAGGGCGGGAACAGTAGCAAGGAACAGATACCTTTGTAGGTAGCTTTAGACATAAAACTATAGAAAAAAAGCTCGCGCTCGTTTAAATATCGGAGTTCGATATTTACAGGACAACAAATTGAAGCAAGGCCAAAGCCATGAATCCATATCGTATTAAGCTTTCAACTGGGAGCTACAGGAAGCGTTATTGTTTAGCCAGCAGAGCGGGGAGAAGAGGGCTGGGTCGGGTTTGGAGCTGCTCAGCAGCTCTCACCTTTCAGCTTTCCAGTGGGCCAGGAACCAGCTACTGTTCAGCCAAACCACACAATCCTTGAAACTGACAGTGGGTTCTATAGTCCACGTTTCTTTGTTCCGGAAAACGGAGGGGTGGAGAAAGAGGAGGAAGACAGAAGCCACTCTCTCTCTCCCTTCTTCCCAGGGACACCCTACCGGCAGCGCTCTCGCCTTGCCAATCCCCCCGCCCACCGCAGATAATCGTTATTAAGCGGCTGCCTCCCCCGCTAAACTGGCCCTATAGGGAACTACCTCACCCCAGCCCCAAAGCGAACAGGGCGGGGCCCAGGCGGCCGCTCCCTCCTCCCGTCGCGAACACGGCCGAGAAAAAGGCAGTGACAAAGGAATCCCCCTTCGGACGCCACCGAGAGAGCCGCGCCCTTCTCCCGTTTTCCAACCCAGCGGGCTAAGCGAGCGGCTCCCTCCCGCACCCCGTCGGGCCTCTCCCGACGTCGAGCCCGACAGACACCGCACGTTCGTCACTCTCCCGGGGCCCCCCAGTACCGTCGGACTCACCGTGTAAGACGACACGACCCGGCTTACCGCACTGTTCCTCCGCACCCTCACGACCGCCAACCCTCCACTCCGTTCAGCTCCGCTTTAATGGGGCCAAACACCCTCCCCGCTTTCACTTCCGCCTCTTGCTCACCCCTTCCGGTCACGGGACCCGCCCGGCGTGTTGATGCACTGACGTACCGAAAGGGCGGGGCCAGAGGTCGGACGGGTTTCGGGAAGCCCGTGGCTCTAATTAGGCTCACGCTCTAGCCTTTGGCGGCAGCTCTATGGTACGTGTCATTGCGTCCCCTTGGACGATTCTCAAGCGGCGTTTGTTACGGGAGGCTGGTCGCTGAGAATCCTCTGAACAGCTTGGTGTCATTTCCAAAATTCATAGCATGATAGTATCTTTATTACACTATCCCACTTGCACCACAACCAGCGTTAGCCTTTAAAATCTCTCTGTCTTCATCAGGAAGGATGTTACAAAAGCAGGTGGGGAGGGGAAAGAATGGAAGGAAAGGTTGCCGAAAAACTTAAGTCTCTGTGGACTGAGCTTCTAAACTGGGGATTTTTTAAATTGTCCCGGAGCTTCCTGAGGCAGCTCCCCAATGCAGGGAGGCGGGAGCTATTCAGTCAGTCTGCTCTAGCGCCTGATGGGACCCGCTGGTTTTCAGAGAGTGCCTGGAGAGTTTCTAAGACTGAGATCGTGCTGATGGCCCTGGAGAAAAAGAAATAGCAAAAAATGTAGTTTTTGCACGTCAAGATTTAAAAAGGCAGACAAAATATAAAGGGATTTTGATGGAAATCAAGCATTGTGCTGGAAATAAGTGGAAAGGACTATCAAAGAGACTATAGCAACATGATTGGAATTAAAAATAACTGATGAAATTACTTGTGATGAAACTAAAGTGACAAAATGCTAGAAATAATATTTTAGAGATTTGCATGAGAACAGTGATATGTTAAAGAGTGGAACTGGTGGAAATACTATACATGTTGGTGTCCAAAAATTTAGTAAAAAGGAAATCACAAAAATGATGGGAATATTGAAATATGGCAAGGCTGCTAGTATAGATAGTGTAACTGTAGAAATGTTAAAATACAGATGAGGATTGCTTATGGAGTGGCTACGTGATTTGAGTGTGAAAACTGCATCTGTTCCTGATGATTGAAAGAACACTATTGTTCTTTCCTTATGTAAGAGAAAAGTAAGTAATGGAGATATTTATGAATGTGAGAATGAAAGTTTACTGTATGTTTGCTATTTTAAAGAAAGCATATGTTAAATAAATAGGATTGAATTATGGAATGTTTTATGTGAGTATGGAGTTGAGAGTAGGTTGCTGAATGTGATAGGAACAATATATGATGGAATATTATATGGTATATGGGAATATTAAATGGTTTTCTTTGAGAAGGGAGTAAGACAAGGACTGTTTCATATATTTATGGATAAATGTATAAAGTATGCTTGTGCTGGTAACAGAAATGTGTTGTTTGGGAGTGTGAACATGTTTGTACTTTTGTATACAGATGATGCCATGTTGTTTGGCTCAGAACCCCAATAATTTGCAGTGAATGTTAGATAGCTTGTATGATGCAACAAGAAGCATGGATCTGAGAATTAATGTATCTAAGATCAAGGTAGTTGTGTTTCACAAAGAAATTGGATGGAATAACAAGAAATACATATATGACAATAAATTAAAGGAAGCAGATGAATTTATGTATCTTGATAAAATGTTTACAAGATGAGGTAATGGATGGAGAAGTTATGTGATACATAAATATTAATAGATAGTGAATAGTATGTGGTCTCTTGCAAGGAATTAATGTCAAGTATAACAGTGTACTCCACTCACTTTGATATAGGGAAGTGAGAGTAGAGTTGAGTATGTCAGGAGAAAGATAAAAATTGAATGCAGCAGGACTGAGGTATTTAAGAAGTGTATGTGGCAAACAAAGAAGAGATCAGGTCAACAATAAATGGGCGCTAAACAAATGTAGGCTGAACACAAAAGTGAGTGATAAGTATGAAAGTATACTGAGGTAGTTTGGTCTTATAGAGAGAAGAAATGAGGACTGAATCACAAAATATTTGAAGGAAGAATAGTTCAAGAGGAAATGGAAGACAGAGAAAGCTGTGTTTGTATGGTGTTGATGAGATCTTCAGAAAATGAGAGGTGAGAAGTTTAAAGAACAAAAGGAACAGTGCCATGGACAAGGTGGAAGTAATAATAGTTTGTAAGGAAGAAAGGTATGGAGAAGTATAGTGAATGGTGTTAGTATAAAGTAGATTTAGCTAGATTTCTTTTTCTTAATGCATGCCTTTATTTCTTTTGCTTAGTACTTTTTACTCTTCCTCTATGCTTTGCATAACACTACTTACAGATAGTCCTCGAGTTACAACCATTTGTTCAGCAACCATTCGAAGTTATGGCGGCACTGAACAAATAGCACTTATGCCCGGTCCCTGAAGTTATGGCCATTGCAGTGCCCCTGTGATTACATTATCAAAATTCAGGTGCTTTGCAGCCTGCCTGCGCTTATGACCATAGGGGTGCCTCAACTCCTGCCACCCACCTACCTCTCCCCCATCTGGGCTCTTTTGGCCCCATGTACTCTGCAGTCCCCGCTGCCCTGCGCTCCATCACCCCCAGCTGACCTTTGCCATCTTCTTGCTCCTGCTGCTGATCAAGCATGCCTGGCCTGGCCCTTTGCAAGGCGGCTGTTGGCCACATGAAACTCTGCAGTGGTTTCCTCACAAGACCTGGGGAAGACGGCCTCGCATGGTCAGCAACTGCATTGCAAAGGGCCAGGCTGGGCATGCCTCAGCAGCGGGAGCAAGAAGACACTGAAGGTCAGCTGGGGTGGTTGAGCGCAGGGAGGCAAGGGCCTCGGAGTGCAGGATGGTGAGGGCAGCTGGGGCTGGGCAGGGCCAGGGAGACTGCAGCTTCATGCTGCACTGCTGGGCCAGGCTGGGTTGGCTGTGGCTTCCCGGGGCGGCTGCAGCTTTGCACTGCACTGCACGTGGGTTTCTTGCAGCCCCGGAGCTGTGGTGTGCCAAGCAGTCCCAGAGCTGCACAATTCTGGAGCTGCTTGCCACCCTGTAAGGCAGGGTGTAGGGCAGCCAAAAGGATGTGGGGGGAATAGCAGTTGGGGGGAATTGAAGGGGAGGAAGTCCCTTGCCTTGGAAAAACTGAGGCTTGGGGCTGGGAGAGATCAAATTAGGAATGGCTTGGATCAGGGTGGGTCCTTGGTTAATGACCGGTGTAATTCAGTTAGCAATGGCAACAGGGAATGCTGGGATTGCCGTCGCTAAGCAATGCTGTCACGTGATGTCAAGCTTTATGACTGCATTGCTTAGCGACAGAAATTTTGGTTCCAATTGCTGTTGTAAATTGAGGACTACCTGTATCCTGAAAGGGAATAGCATCCTAGATATGTATTTATTATACAGGAAATATGCATAAAGAAAAAAAACAATTCAAATCAAACTTATGGAAACTATATATCACGGAAATATAGGCTTAGGACAAGATTGGAAGGAATCTCATCCAACCCTCTACCTCATGCAGAAATCCAGTCCTGCAGCATCCCCGACAGAGGGTCATCTAGCCTCTTTAAACACAAGTGAAGGAGAGTCCATACTTCCTGGGGCAGGCTGTTCTGCTGTTTTATTTTTATTTATGTACAGGGTTTATAGGCTGCTCCAAATAACAGCGTACACTGTTGAACAGCTCTTACTGACAGGAAATTTTTCCTGATATCTAACTGAATTTTGCTGCATCTTAGTTTAAATCTCATTTCTTGCCTATGTTCTGAAATAACTCTGACCAATTCTGTCTTCCTTTCTTTGTCACAGCTCTTCAGATACTTGAAAACAGCTCACCTGTCTCCTCATGGTCTTCTGTTCCCAAGGCTAGAAACATGCACTGTAATGCCTCCAAAGGTTTATTCTGCCTACGTTTTTCTTTCTAGGCCCCTTATTATTTTGATTGCTTTTCTTTCAATACACTCCAGTTTGTCAGTGTCAGTCCTAAAAAGTGATACCGAGAGCTTGACACAATGCTCTAGGTACAGCCCAGCCAATGCAAGAGAGAGAGAAACAATGTCTTATGGTCAATACCAAAATGTATTGTGTATTAGGCAGGAATGCACCGTATTCCTACTACTGTGGGAGATACGTAGCAAGTTTTGCCTGTTTTATGCTGGTATTTTACCTTCAATAAGATAGACTTGAAATGTGACAAAGAGCATTACAGTATCTTTCAGAAGCCCCTCAGTGGTTCTCTTCTGTACAGACAACATCATACTTTCTCTGAGCATAATTTCTATTAATAAAGTCTGGATTGGCATAACCTGAACTGTGATTGGTTCCACACTACAGCAGAATCCTATAGTGTTGCTTAGCTATTTCTTTTCAACAATTGCAAAGGATTTAAAATGATGGTTCCACACATTAATTTTGGCACTGCTACTTGATCAGTTTGAACTGTTGTGAAGCTGAGAGTGGATCTGCCTGATCACGTGAAGTCAGATTTTTTGGAAACCTGAATTAGTTGTCTGTGACTACACTTAAAAAAAAAAAAAAAAAAAAACCAGAGCAAGGTGAGACACTTTTTCTGTAATGCTGTGGCTGAATATAACATAGGAAATTTGTGTTCTTCTTGGTAAGAATACCTGTGTTATGTAGTCTCCTGGACTTAAGCAAATATTAACTCCATCCCACAAGGCTCAGCATCATATTTCTGGAACTGCCGTATCCATCTCCTTCCCCCCCACTCCAGCTGTCTAAAACCATGGGTGCTGGAACTGGGGAATTGACTAGCTGCAAATCGCTGATTTGCTGTCTTTAGGAGAATGGTATTAAAGCAACTTGGGTCTCCCCCCAGCATCCCCCCCCCAAACACTAACTTTTCATAGTTTTCCATTACAGCATCATAGATCAGGGATGGGACACTATCGTCTCTGGTATAAAGTGGGGGAGAAGAGATTTTTTTCTACCTAGGACCCATATTAATTCAGGGCTTAGTGCACAATTATGACAATTATTGTACTCTCCCACTGGTTTCCCAGAGGAGCACAATGGACTCGTGGGGATCTCTGCCTTGTCTCAGCATCCAAGATCAGCAGGAGTGAAATAGGTAGCATGCCCTCTTTGGAGGGCAGAAATGGTACTACTGTACATGGAAATGGCCTTTGCACAGTTACTGTTTTTCAGCAATAGCATTCCTTACGTTGAAATCCTCCTAAAAGTTTACTTGCATATGAGAACCTTATTGCAAGGTTCCATCCAGCAATAGGACTTTCTCGGTGTAAGCTATGCCGAGTAAGAACAAGATTATCTCTTGTTCAGAAGTTAATTAGTAGCTATATCAACTACAAGCTTATGCTATTTATACTTCTTACAAGGTAAGTCCCAGTAAAATTAATACGTCATTATGAATGAAAGAAACAAAGACAGGTACAGTATTCTACAATACGTTAGGCTAAGATGTGATTGGCTGGCTTGTGACTCATTGGATGTGTTTGCCTGACACACTTAACACAAAGTAGCTAACTACACTGTAGCCTAGTACACTGTGTGATTTCTGTATTGGACAATAAATCTTTAATTATGGTTAGCATGTTGTGTAAACACAGCTATGGTGGAAATTGTGGTGGGAATTTTTAGGATGCCTGACATGTCTAACTGAACCCACTGAATTTATTAGGTCCTATTTCTGATAATTACTTCCGTTTTGCACTTAATTTTAATGAAAAAGCAAAATTACATATGGGAACTGAATAGTTAGATAATAACAATAATTATAGTCTTATGTCCCATTGAAATAAAATCCATCATTGCAATAATTAAGAGACATTAATTCAAGGTCAGCGCTGCTTACCAGTCCTATCCCTCCTCAAGCCAAAAGCAATAAATTGGGCAGAATCTGCTAACAGGAATGATATACTGTAATGGTGAAGGCACACCAGGCAAATACACTGCTACAACTGAACTTTATTATGAAAAGAATATTTTTTTAAAATCATCAAGCATGAAAAGCACAGATGGAAAACATAAAAAGCATCAAAATGAAATGGGTGGCATTACCTTTGACTGTCTACTTCCTAAAAATTTGTGAACAAAGAATGATAATTCCAAAGAGAAATTCTGAGGCCTTGAATCCATAAAATTCAGCAAAAAGCATATGATTATTACAACGATTAAATCATGAAGAGGCAACCTGTGATCTTCCAGATGTTGCTGAAATAAAATTCCATCATCTCTCATCATTGATCATGCTAGGTACAGCTAATTGGAGAATTCAACAATATTTGGAGAGCCACACATTAGCTATCCCTACCTTAAACAAGGCAAAGCTATTTTAGAACATAACACAAATATTTCCATATCCAGATTACATATAGAAAACTTCAAATATTAGCTTTCCTGATGAACTCTAGAAGCTGAATAACAAATATTTTGTCCTTAATTCTTAAAACAAAAAACAAAATGTAATTTTTCATATATATTTGACATTAACCTTAGAATTGCTGTATATTCTTGAAAACACTGCAGACAGGAAAAGATCTTTGTCAAAGTTTACTCCAAAATTAATACAAACCCCAGATCAGTGACCCATGGCAATGTAATAATCTTTTCTTTTGCCAGGAAAAGCTATTAAATGACAGGCAGAACTGAATGATGATTTTAGAAGGTTCCAGCGCGCGCGCGCACACACACACACACATATATATATGAAC